AAGTTTCAGGATACAAGATAAACATACAAAAATCAGTTGGATTTCTTTATACCAACAAAGAGAACTTCAAAGAGGAAATCAGCAAATCAATACCATTTAAAATAGCCTCCAAGAAGATAAAATACTTAGGAATAAATCTAACCAGAGACATAAAAGACCTATACAATGAAAACAAGACACTACTGCAAGAAACCAAAAGAGACCTGTATAAATGGAAAAACTTGCTCATGGATAGGAAGACTCAAGCCACTGAAGTCTCTGATTTAGTTTAGAAAAAAATCCAGCTAATCCTTTCACTGAAAAATTTTTTGACAACTTCTTTCCTTCCTCTTCCTAATTGTTTCTTTCTTCTCCAGCATTTCTTTCGTCTTCAAAATCCATTAAGTCCTGATCTGTCAATTTCCCTTCTTCATGATCTATGAGCTGTTCCACATTGGCAATATCAAGTTCTAAATTCAGCGTTCTTGCTATATGGACAATTTTTCCACTGATCTCTTTCGTCATATCATCCTGATCAAATCCTTGGAGTGTGTTCACGTAACTCAGAATTTTTTCTACATCCCCTGTATGCATTTTCCTGTAACTTCCTCCCAGAAAGATGCAATGTTCTGGATACACTGGAGAATATTATAATTCTTCCAGAAATTTCATAGTACTACTGTACCTCCATCCGCTTTAGGTATTGCCTGAGGAAACGTAGTCCATAGGTAGTATGCCTTGAAAGTGGTGATTGCACCTTGATCCATAGGCTGAATCACAGCTGTCGTAGTGGGAGGTAAAGACATCACTGTCACATCTTGATTTAGATCACCTATGTAAGGACGTCCTGGGGCATGATCAAGTAGCGGCTGTTGGGTATGTGCAGTTCAATTGTTATATATCGTTAGAATTGAACACTGCCCAACTTTCTATCCACTATGACTCCTGACTCTGACACTGACACCTACTTCATTGTGGAGCAGGCCATATCTTGCTATATAGCAGTGTTTGAAATGTAAATCATAACACTGAACATCTGTAAATGAGTAATTTCTTTTATAAAGATTAGCACAAAGCTGGTTCCTATGAGGCAGAGGTTGAAGGTGTCCTAAATGTCCAACTTTTTCAAGGTGCTGTACCACTCCATCATCTCTAACATCAACTACTCCCTCTCCTCTCAGTACCCTCCCTCCTGCCTTTGGGTTCCCTAATTTGCCGCAATGTCTCACAGAACTCATGAACTTAGCTGTGTAAAGAAAATGGCTCACACAGTTGTGGAGGCTGGCAAGTCCCAAATTCATAGGTCATGCATAGGCTTCTCTCGACCCACATGGCTACAGGGGCTGATGAACCAAAATAGGCAGTTCAGATCACAGGCTGCTGGCTCACAAGGCTGCGGAAGCTGGTGAATCAGGTCACATGATAGGCCACCAGCGCAAGGGGCTGTGGAGGATGGCGAATCCCAGAATCGGCAGGTCAGACAGCAGACTTCTGGGGAGGTCAAATGATCACAGACCGGACATGGGATCCAGACGCAGAGAGAGAGCCTCGCCAGAACACACACATGTATCTTAGATGCAGGCCATGTCTCAGCGAAAGGAGTAACTTTATTAAGGGTGGGGCTTGAGTCACACCCTCCTGCAAGTCTGTGACCCAAGACACACCCTACACCAATCCTGCCTCATCAACATGCAGAAGTCAGGATCCACAACACAGAAAATGGAGGACAACCATACAGTACTGGGAATCATGGCCTAGCCAAGTCGACACATAACCCCAACCATCACAGGTTCCATATACCTTATTTGCATAGTCCCACTCAATCATTGTGTGTGAGTCACAAAGAGCATGGCTAGAAGGGCCATATTAAGCAATTCATTGGACTACAACCTGCAAGTGAACGTCTGAGGATGATAACATCAACAAATTAAATTACGTGCTGCGATACTGTACGTAGTACATATTACTAACAATAGAATGTACAAAAAAGACAGTCATAAGTTCGGTTTTTCACAACTGGAGTATGTCGTAAGTCGAGGACTACCTGTATATATTTTACAATGAAACTGTAACAGCCCAGGCTCAGGCTCATTTTCATGAACCCACTCAATATGGATGGAGGCTCAGGGTTTTCCATAGCTGCTATCTCCAGAGATAGGCAGGCTTTGAGAGTCAGGGGGAGAATGTCACGGTGGGTCCCAGTGGGATTTTCATGATGGAGAGCAGCACAGCTGGGATTTGAACACAGAACAGTTGGATTCTAAAGCTTTTGCCTCCTTGGCTATATTGCACTGCTTCTTACAGAACAATGTTTTAGTTATTTATTTTGAACATTTTAAAACTTTCATTTTGAAATAATTTCAGACTTGAAAAAACTTGCAAAAATAGTACAGAGTATTTTTGGAGACCCTTTACCTAGCTTTCCAAAATATTAACATCCTTCATAAACACAGCAAAACTAGGAAATTAACATTCACACAGTACTATTCACTAATCTACAGTCTTTGTCTACATTTTGCCAATTGTCCCACAAATGTTCTTTTTCTAGAGCAAGATCTCATCCAGGATCCTAACTTAGCAAGTGTTTTAAAAATAGAGAGCTTTTATGGGTTTCTGGTTGCAGGTGGCCCCTAACCTTCAAGGGTCTGCCAGATTAATTTCTGAGTAAGCATCACACCTTACTCCTCCCTCAGGATGGCTGGGATTACCTCACAAAGCTCCTCTGAGGTCACACCAAGGTAGCAAGAGCTAGTGCCAGGGCATGCAGGTACAGTGGGATCCAGCAGGCAGGAAAGTGTGGTGAGGAGGCTGCGGGTGAATAGGGGAAACTGTCTCTGGAGGAAGCACAAGGACCAGCTGATGGATTAGTTAGACAATTGCAACGTGAGGCAGGTGAGTTGAATGTCCCATCCCTGTTCATTCCCTGATTCCCTAAACCTCAGTTCAGATCTTACCTTCCCCACGGGCTCCTCCTGGGTCCCACAGTGGCTCCCCTTTGTCACACCAGATCTTAGTGCCTGGCCCTGTGAAGGCCTCCTGGTGGCTTTCTTCCCTGGCAGGTGCGCGGGCAGGGATCACAAAGAACTGGATGGGCAAGGCTAGAGAGTGGGCTAGGAAGCCAGCCAGGAAGCCTGGGGTGGCCTGCCCTCCCATGACCCTGTGGGCAGGGCCTCAGGAGACCAGGTTAAGGCTTAAATTTCTGTTTAAATGCAGGCAGGCCGTTTCCTGGGAAAGCCTGTGTGGACATTGGCTACTGTGGAGAGAGGGCAAGCCGTACCTGGCACCTCCGCACCCTGGAAGGTGCAGCTGGGTAGGAGGCTCCTGAGGCTACGGAGATGAGGGCTGAAGGCTGGAGGAACCCACTGCTGCTACTGGTGGCCCTGGTCCTGGCAGCCAAGCTGGGCCATTTCCAAAGGTGGGAGGGCTTTGTGGAGAAGCCCATGAGCAAGGAAAACATGAATGGAACGCTCAATTTCTTAATTCAGAGCTACAACAATGTCAGCAATGACACCTACTTATTTCGAGTCCACAAGCTACTTCGAACTCAGATGCAGGTGTGTGCCTCAATTTCCCGGTTTGTGCCCACTTGGACACACAGGGTTCCCAGTATGGTCCCAGGGAGTACCGAGTGGGGAGAAGCATAGCTTGGAGCAGGCACAGTGTAGAGTTTTGCAGACCCCAGAGTTGCTTTAGCCATGCTTCCTAAACGCTGGTCCAAAGACTGGAGTGAAATCCTAGCTGAGTTGCTATTAGTCTGAAGCAAAAATGTCCACTGAGGTTTGCCTTCTTTTGAAGATGCCACAGTGACAGCAACTGAGGACGGTTTTGCCTCCTTTCAAGGTCTTATTTGGCAAAGTACAAACATTAATTCCCTTAGGCTAGCTCCCTCCAACAATATGTTTTTTTTCAAAGTACAGGTTTGTAACATCTAAGACTGGGTTTTCTAACTGTTCTGTGGAAATCTGGAATGACATAGGGGTTCTTTTCTGGAGGAGGGGAGAGCTTTCCCCAGGTCACCTCCCCTCTTCTTTGTATAATGCTTATTATGTACACATTTTCTCTGGAATACATTAACTGAAGGGTAAGAGAGGAAAGAAAAAGTGTTTGAAAAGCACTTTTATTGGTCCAACCACCCCTCAAGATCAGATAGTAAATTATACATTGAGCCAATTCTGATCCATGGCTACACCAGTGTGCAGAGCAAAACTGTGCTCCATAGGGTTTTCGATGGCTGTAATCTTAGGCAAGTAGATCACCAGGCCTTTCTTCTGCAGTGCTGCTGGGTGGATTCGAACCACCAACCTTTTGGTTAGTAGCCCAGCACAAACTGTTTGCACCACTCAGATTTAGTTAGTGCAGAGGCAATAATACATCTGAGTTTAGTTAGCTGGATTTGGGGAAAATAATAATTGAATAGGGAGAAAGGGCTCTAGGCAGAGAGAAAAGCAGCTGGAACAGGAGAAACCAGCAGGGGGTGGGGGCAAAGAGGAGCAGGTGGTGTAACAGCATGCAGACATTCTCAGTGTCCCACACTCAAACAGTTATGCACTTTTGCCGCAAGATGGCGGTCTTGCTCATCATCAGGGCCAAGAACACTGAAGCGACTTGGCTGCAAAGTGGCGGCCATTGATCAAAGGGCTTGCAGAGGCTGGCTTGTTCTCTTTGATTAGTCTTCCTGGGGAAAAATCTGAGTATCCTAGGAGGCCTGTCTTGTGAAATCAATCCACGACCATGAACAGTTAATTGTAAAAGGATTATGAGCAAATGTTGACGCCATTCAGGTTGATGAGTGGACAGAACAGGTCTCCCCTTGGTAGCCTCTGGGCACCCCCATACCTACTGCAGCATGACTGTGTAGGTCCTAATACCTCACAGAGGTGTGCAGGAGGCGGGCATGGCGTGTGCCGGTGCTTAGGCTGCAGCCCCTTCTGGATTAGACGCCAGCTGCTCCTGATTGTGGGATCTTGGGCAAGTGCCATCCACACTCTCCAGGCCTGTTTCCTCACCTGCAAAGTAGGGGGACTGAGAGTGAAGTACTTAGCACAGAGCTGACATATAGTTATACTTGTGGAAATGTTTGCAGTTGTTATGATTATTCCCATTATTATTCAACAATCAAGTCTAATAATGAATAAGGAAGCACTTTGCACACCATAATGCTAGTTAAATTTATGACCAGTGTTTTAGTTTCTTCATACGTACAGGGTGGCCCGAAGGTTAAATTAGATACTCAGTGTGAAAGCGCCTGGTATGAGCGAGCCCGGCAAGAGACCACCTCCCGGGTGGCACTGCTGTTTGATGACAGCGCATTTACCTGGGGTGGGGGGTGGGGTGGGGGCTCCACCCCAGTTCCTTCCAGCTCATGCTGGGATGAGGATCTCTGTGCTGCCTGCAGGCCTAACTCCCCTATGCCCTCTCCTGAAGTTTTCTGAGGGTGCCTTCCTCCTGAGGATGGTGTGAGCACTCTCCGCCTCTATTGCCACCCCGGAGGAGAGTACCAGTCCATCTTATTTATTTTGACTAATGATGTTTAGAAGCTCTGGTGGTGTACTGGTTAAGAGCTACAGCTGCTAACCAAAAGCGGTTCAAATCCACCGGGCGCTCCTTGGAAAACCCTATGGGGCTGTTCTACCCTGTCCTATAGGGACGCTATGAGTTGGAATTGACTCGACGGCAATGGGTTTTTTTTTTAATGACCTTTGAACAAGAGCGCAGGGAAGTTTCAGAACGTCTCACCTCACCAGTGCAGAACTCTGCAAACTGCAAAGTGACTCAGGGAATTCAGTGAGGTTTCCAACAGGCAACATTGACTACGAAACTATCTGTTAGAGTTTTGTTTATGGGTGTGGGGCATCCCTGTCCACAGAGGGGTTTCACAGCCTTATACTTGGACGGGAATAAAAGAAGATAATTACAAGCACAGGAAATAGCCCTTGTGCACTCTCCATGCTTCCCATTTTCACCACACTCCCTCCTTCATTCCACGCAGACCTTGTGAGTCCACACAGACCTTGTGAGTCCACACACACCTTGTGAGTAAATAGGCATTTTTCTCCCCATTTTCTGGATGAGGAAACCGAGACTCAGTCAGGTGGAGGACTTGTCCAAGATGACAGACTGGCAGGAGACACAGGTGGAACTCGAGTCCAGTTCTTCTGTCTTCTGTTCTGTCACTATTCCAGCTCCATAGTTGCTTTAGAGTACTAATCACATCACTGATAGCTAATCTTTGTTGACTCCTAACAATTTTCCAGACATGCTGTTGAATTGTTTTTATTCATGTTTTCGTTTAACCCATGTAACAACTGCATGAGCAGGCACCGTGACTATCTGTACTCTGTAAGTGAAGAAACTGAGGCCACTAAGGAACGTGCCCAAGGTCACAGTTAGTAAATGGGGAACTCAGACTCCAAATCAAGCAGATTCAAAAGCTCATGTTTTGAGCTGCATTGCTAAACTGCTTTCTGTCAAGTTGGTTGGGAAGGAGAGAGAGAAGAAATGAGGAAGGGGTGCCAGGAGAGCCCAGGAGTAAGGTTCTGGCGGTGTACATTATGACGAGTATGTGTGCAGACCTGGGAGTGGCCTGTGGTTGCCAGGCCACCAAGCCTAGCGGGTCGTTTCCTTTGTCCTGAGGATGGATGGGAAGCAAGTGAGAAGTCACCTGGGGCTGCAGTAGCAAACCCAGTCAAGAGCACAGGGGTGGGGACCAGGTTTGGTTGTCTTTTGCATCCTCCTGCCGAGAGGGGAGGAGGAAGATGTGTCTTTGACAGGGGAGCTCTGGGATGGAACTGAGGCTCCAGGGGCTTCTGTCTCAGTCCCAGCACGCCTGGAGAGGCTCAGCAACCTGATGCTTGGAGTCAAACTAACTGTGGAGTTGCTTCCTGGTAGCTGACGACCGGAGTGGAGTATATGGTAACTGTGAAGATCAGCAGGACCAAATGCAAGAGGCAAAGCATGGGAAATCATTCCTGTCCCTTTCAAAGCAAGAAAAAGCTAAAAAAGGTATGTGGTGGGATCATCTGAGAAGGAACTCATGATCAAATAGGGGAACATTTTAAAACTTAAATTAGAAAAAAAAAGCTCATTGGGCATTGTCAACTTCTTAGCAGTGTGGATTGGGGGCAGGGTCAGGCACAGCCCCGGGGGCCACCTGGTATCACCCGAGGTCCCTGGGGGGAGGAAGGCAGGGATCTTTAATTGGGCTGTCTGGCCATGCTGCAATTACACAGGCCTCCCTCCGCCAGCTGAGGGAAGACCAGGACTTTGAGTAACCTGGACTCCTTTGCCCGACCAGCACTACCCTCCTTCCCCTTCTAGGCCACACCTCCCGCCCTTCCAGGGGACGTAGTTTTTCCTCTTCTTTGGAGCCCTAGTTCAGGTCTCTGAGGAGTGTCCAGTTTCCTCCTCCTCTTCCGACTCCGGCCTCCCCTTCCTGGTCTTCCTGGTACCTCTTGACGGCACCCTCACATGGGCTGGCAGTGCCTGGGGTGTAGGACTGGGGCGTGGTGCCACTGCCCCTTCATAGTCTGGCCGGGTCTCTGGCCCTGGGTCCGGTGAGGTCTCTGACTCCAGGTGTGCCTGCTGCATGGCCTCGGGTGGTGACAGTCCTGCCCCCACCATGTGACATGTGCATCTCCTCCCCAGCTGCCCACCTGCTCCAGCAGTAGCTCCCCATTACCCTGGGGTAGCCTGCAGGGGCAGAATATTTTTGTTTGCCTTCGAAAAATATTTCCCCAAAAGCTGACTATTCTCTTTCTCCTTCCACAGAGTTTCATTTGTGATTTTTTGGTATACACTGTGCCCTGGATGAACTATTACCAGCTCTGGAACAATTCCTGTCTTGAAGGCTAAGCAAGTTAGTGCAAAGACCTTCAATTACAACCTTAGACCAGCTTGTTGTACGCTTTCTATTATAACATTCTAAAAAGATCTTATCTCCCTCATTGGAGTCTTGCTACACACCTCCCCGGAAACTCACACACACATACGTACACACAAATGCACACATACCACACCACACCTACACACACACACATATACACACATACCAACACACTTGCACACATGTACACACATGTACTCTTACATCACACACTCACATGTCCACACGCTCACACACACATTTGATGACTTTTCGGGGCTTGATGCAATTTGAGCAGAAGGACCCCATAATTTTCTACTTTAGTTGATCTGGACTTGGGTACACCGCTGGCCTCTGACCTGAACTAGGTAGGGCCTGTTTCTTTCCCATGCAGACACAACACTGTGACTCATACATTCTCTTCAAGTATTGTTGTTAGGCGCTGTTGAGTCACTTCTGACTCATAGTGACCCTATGTACAACAGAAAGAAACACTGCCCAGTCTTGCGCCGTTCTCACAATCATTGTTATACTTGAGCCCATTGTTGTAGCAACTGTGTCAATCCATCTTGTTGAGGGGTGTTTTTGTTGACCCTCTGCTTTACCAAGCATGATGTCCTTCTCCAGGGACTGGTCCCTCCTGATAACATGTCTAAAGTATGTGAGATGAAGTCTTGCCATCCTTGCTTCTAAGAAGCATTCTGGCTGTACTTCTTCCAAGACAGATTTGTTCGTTCTTTTGGCAGTCCATGGTATATTCAATATTCTTCGCCAACACGATAATTCAAAGGTGTCAATTCTTCTTCTGTCTTCCTTATTCATTGTCCAGCTTTCACATGCATATGAGGCAATTGAAAACACCATAGCTTGGGTCAGGTGCAGCTTAGTCTTCAAAGTTACATCTTTGCTTTTTAATGCTTTTAAAAGGTCTTTTGCAGCAGATTTGCCCAATGCAATGCATTGTTTGATTTCTGGACTGCTGCTTCTGTGGGTGTTGGTTGTGGATCCCAGTAAAATGAAACCCTTGACAAAACTTCAATCTTTTCTCCATTTATCATGATGTTGCTTATTGGTGCAGTTGTGAGAATTTTTGTTTTCTTTATGTTGAGGTGTAATCTGCACTGAAGGCTGTAGTCTTTGATCTTCATCAGTAAGTGCTTCAAGTCCTCTTCACTTTCAGCAAGCAAGTTGTGTCATCTGCAGATGACACAACCTGAGAGTATAAGGGGTCCTCAAAACCAAACCCAGTTTGGAGATTCACGACATTCGTTTTTACAGCTAAGATTTATTGCAGCAAAAGAACACAAAGCAAAATCAGCAAAGAGAAAAGGTGCACAGAGTGAAGTATGGAGGAAGCCAGGAATAAGCTTCCAAGAGTCCGCTCCCGGTGGAGACACACAGTGTGACGTGTTGTCAACTGGTGAAGCTCATCAGAGACTCGGCACTCGAGGCTGGTCATGTAGACACCCTCTGCCTGGCTCATATCCAGATTACAGACCCTCAGAAGAAAAGCAAGTGTTCAGCATAAACCACATTGTTTGTACAAACAGTTTAGGCACAGTGTACCACTGTTACAATTTTGAGAACATTTTATATCAGTACAGGAACTGTTTACCATTTGAATTCCCAGATTCCAGCCAAGGCCAGCCTTGCAGATGGGCCCATCCCAGGACAGCAGCCGCCTCTGGCCTACTGTGTCACTCTCCTTTGTACTGTGAGTTATTGAGCCTCCTATTGCTCTCTGCTGGAGAGGAGGCCTGTGGCTCCTGCCCTCACGTGATTCATAGCTGAGCAGAAAAGGTGAGCACTAGATCAGACATGGGGAGAGGAAGCAGGCTGCTATATTAGTAGCAGATGAAGTAGACTTCAGAGCAAAGAAAATGACCAGGGACAGAGAGGGATATTATATAATGATACAGCCACTCTGGAAAACACTGCGGCAGTTTCTTAAAAAAAACTAAACATACACTTCACCACATGACCCAGCAATCTCACTTGCGGGTGTTTATCACAGGGAAATGAAAACTTATGTCCATGCAAAACCTGCACACAATTCTTCATAGAGGCTTTATTTGTAATAGCCCAAAATTGAAAACAACATGTCCCACAATAGGTGAGGAGTTAAACTCTGGTGCATCTATACTGTGGGATACCACTCAGCAATAAAAAGGAACAAACTATTGATACATGCAAAACCTGGATGGATCTCCAGGGCATTATGGCCAATCACAAAATGTATGACTCCATATAACATTCTCAAATGGGAAATATTATAGAGATGGAAAACAAATTAGTGATTGCCAGGGGCAGATATGGGGTGGGGTGGGAAGCGGTTGGGTGTGACTATAAAGGGGCAGCGCAATGGAGATCTGTATGGTGATGGAATAGTTCTGTATCATGATTTGTTACACAAACCTACCTATGTGATAAAATGATGCAGAACTAGCCATACACATTGTTCCCATGCCAACTTCCTGGTGGTGATGCTTTTCTGTAGTTATATAAGACATAACCATTGTGGAAACTGGATTAGGGTATAGGAGACCTCTCTGTACTACCTTTGTAACTTCCTGTGAATCTATAATTATTTCAACATAAAAAATTAAAAAACAAAAACAAAAACCATTGGACTGAGAGATCCAATAGATTAATAGGCACAAATGTTCAACCTTCCCTTTTCTTCTCCTTCAAATCACAATAACTTCCTCAAAGAAAAAATAGTTAAAATGCCAGAAGAGTGTTGAATGCTGATTAATAGTATGTATCTACTACAGTTTGTCCCCAACTTATGATATATTTAAGTTACGACAAACCTCACTTATGACCATCTGGTTGGTTTTTTTTTTTTGTACATATTATCGTTAATAATACGTACTACATGTAATGTTGCAGTGCGTGAAAGGACCATATAGGCAACTCTGAATAATTTTTTGACTAGAACCACCATCCTCATTCCTAGGGATAATCCAGATGATTCAGAACCTTCCACAAGTGGAGGTATTACCGCAACTGACAAAATGCCAACGTCATCCATTTTTTTAAGGACGTATATTTTTTTTATATGTGTATGTATTAAAATATATCTGTAAGTTTATATGTAATGTTTCCAACCCTCGAAGACAAAGATCAGATTTATAAAGATACTGATAATAAAAGGCAATAGTAATGAAAACTAAAAAAAAAAAAGAGGTATTCCACTTACATCAGAACTGACTTACGACGGAGTCGTCAGAACAGAACCTCGTCAAGTCAGAGACTACCTGTACTGCCTGTATTCCCACCAAGAGTTAACATTTATTTGAGTACCTGCTTTGTGCTAAGCACTGTGTTGAGCAACTTACATGCATTATCATCATCAATCCTTATAACTAACCCAGGAAGTCAGTATTGTTGTCATCAGTTAAAGACGGAGGAACTGTAGGGTAGCACTTGCACAGATGGTTGGTGGAGGGGAATCCCACCTGAGCCCCACCTGAAATAGGGTCCTGAGCACACCAAAACCTCGGTAGGGAGAGTAGAAGCCACAGAAAAAAAGTTATTTCACAGCTGCCAGCCATCACTTTCCATCTCAGTTCACTGTTCACAGCATAAGGAGTATCTGGATAGTGCTCTGCCTGTCTCTTCTCAGGTCTTCCCCTTTCTGTGCACACCAGCTTACTTCCGAATACCAGCACCTACACCCTCTGCTGAGGGCACTCTCTGGCCTTTGCTCTGCTCTGGCACCACCCAGGCAAGGAATTCCAGGGTATAATGCCTCCTAAGGAGATGCCGTCAGCCGATAACTGACTGGAGCTGTTGGATAAACACCCCAACTGCCTCTCTCCTCAGGTATATGCTGTGTGTGTGTATGTGTGTATGTGTGTGTATGCATGCATGTGGGGGGTGTGTGTGTGTCTGTATTGTCCTTAGAGTTCCCCAGTGGCGTTAAACCCCAGGGCTTTTACCTGAGCTCCTGGGGACGAGATTTTCTTCTCCTACTGGACGTGAAGGATGACAGATGTGGCCCAGTGAGCTGCTGGCAACCACCTTGAGACCACATGGAAGAAGTGGGTGAGAGATGACCTGGTGATATTGTTTAAAATCCTGAATCAAGCTGTTGGGGTGTGGGGGTGCTTATTCCCCACTGCTGATGCTGCCATCCATGAAAGTGAGCTCCTTTAACATAGCGTTCCTGGCCTCTCGTCATCCTCAGCCATTCATCTCCTGGAGGACTTAAATTTGATTGGTATAGTTGGGAAGAATAAACTGGGCATTGCAGCCCAGGTCCTGTTCCTTCCTGCTGGGGGCACATATTTTCCTTTGCTCCTCCTGGAGGGTAATCCCTTGGTGCAGAAACCTGCCCTGGTCCAATATTGCTGGTGCGTGGGTATGTAAATCTGATTCTTGGGTTTGGTATTAGAAAGTGCACTTGCCTGCAAACATAAGGCACATCTCTCAGCCTAGTCTTCATCAGTAACAAAGGCCCACATCCCTCGGAATTCTTTGCATTATTTCTCATTTCAGCTTTTAGTCAAGGAAGGGGGTACTCTTTACTGGGCCCCCTAAGGGATGCATTATGGGCCATACTTGCAAATATCTCTTGGCTAAGTTACTTTGAGCCTCTTCCCTTCTCCCTTTTCTCTTTGTCTTCTTATTTAAAAATCTGACTTATCCTACTTGATATGAGGAAGGGGCTAAAGTTCTGCTAACATGCAGGTGTAGGTTATAAGTCCAAGAATTATTCATGTCACCTCATTTGGACTTCAAAACTGCCCTGGCCCAGAGGAACTTCAGAGTAAATCTTAAGAAAAATAAATTATTATTTGAAAAAAAAAAAAGGATGGAATCAAACCCATGAAGAACCTTATGAGAAGAACAGGTCGAAGACATTTATTGTCTACACTCCATGTGGTCTGCTTACCGCAGGGCCCTCTCAAACATAGTGGCCACAGGTGTTCGCTCCAGGACACCTAGGCATCGGTGCAGTTTCTGCTCAGAATTTTGTACTTTTCAAACCAAGGTATGACAAACACCGAGAAGAAGCACTTGATTTGCTAAACAAAACAAAACAAAACAAAACAAAACACCTCAATAAAAACAATATTTAAAAGAGAGAAGGTACATTTAAAAGTGAAAGAAGACATCAACACCTCACCACCCTTCAATTCAGATTTGACTTGATCTTTATTTTGATTTAAGTCACCTGATAGTCAAATCTATGGGATTGTCCCAGAAAATGTCTTTCTGTTCATGGTTAGATTTGGAGAGCAGAAATAAAGTGTCCGCCCATCCCATATTCACCATGGAAACTATTGATTCTTTTCTCCTTCTTCATCTTTACTCATGTGTTCTTTTCTTCACAATTTTACTTTCTCTGCGTCTACTGGATCCATCCTTCCATCCATTCTTTCAAAAATCCATCCATTCACCCATCAAGCTTCCATTTATTCACCCATCTAGCCTTCCAAAAATCCGTCCATTCACACATCCATCCATGCATCTGTGCATCCATCCATCCATCCATCCATCCATCCACTTTTCTTTCCTTTCCTTTCCTTCCTCCATCTATCCGTTGCATTCTCTGTCTCTTTTCCCTATTCTCTCCCAATATTTTCCTCATTGCTTTTTTCCCATAATAAAAAATCAATACTTTTAAACATATTTTGCATATTATCCATTAGCACTTCTTAATGTTATTTCTAAAGGACTCTGAGATGTTTACCTGTCTGATTTTGTTTTCCTGCTCTTCATTTGAAACCTCCGGGTGGGGGTGGGAAGCTTAAGTATTTACATTTCTCTTAAGGTAAGAAACAATACTAACACCACCAATTCAACCTCCTAAGTCAATAAATTCCTTTGATTTTAATTTACTGTGACCTTTAATTACTTTTTTCAGAGACTTAATGATCTTATCCAGGGAAGAACCAAAAAGGCTCACCTTGCCAGATTTTAAGGAATCATCTACGCAGAGAGTAAGGAGGGAGCCTGTGGATGGTCATGGCTTTGTGTTGGGAAGACCCAGGCCATTAGCACTAGGGTGACTATATACATAAACTAAACCAGAGCACATTGTAAGCAAAAGAAGATGAGATCAATGAAGACACTAAAAAGCTGGGCATAAATCAGTAGTATTCCAGGCAAGGTGGAACATATGTCACCCTAGTTTGTATTTGTTTAGGTAAAGTGAAGTGACTTGCAGGGCTGCTAGGATCTTAGACCTCCAAAAGCCCCTTCTGCATGTGGTAACTGCTCTGACTGCGCACACGGCAGTGGTACTGGTGGGGGCGAGGTTCTGGCAAGCCCCCCTCTAAGTGTCGACTCTTGGGTGGGAATGAAACAGGTAGGGGACTAGGCTACATTGGGGAGGGGCTCCTCAGCAGATCACACACATGTGCATTTGCCTCTGTATCCCCACCAGCAGTTGGATGATTTCTGAACTCATTTTCTCATCTCCTCCTTTTCCTGCAGTCACTGCTAGATGGAAGGAACAGAGGGCAGGAGTCCAGGGTTGTCTATCCCAGCCAGGCTGATGTTCAGATATTCAACTGGGCACACCAGAGCAGTTACGCTGGCTGTCCCTTTGCAACTCAGTCACCTCAGCTCCTCCTTCTAATCTTTCCTCCTCACAATCCTTCCAGCAATAAAACAGCAATGCCGCTGGGCAGAGCCTCGGTCAGTCTCACTTTCACCTTCACTTTTCCTCTTCAAGGAAGGAGTTGTATACAACTATCTACACATTTGTTTCAAGTGGAGCTTCAAAAATCCCTTATAATTCTACCCCACCTCATCCTAGAACCACAGAAAAATCCACTGAAAAAAATGAGTTATTTTTAAGTTGGTGTTCTTTCCCCATTACCTTGTAAAGCTCTCCTTCCTGAAATTTACAGTTTGTGGTCTCTAACTTTTGACACGTGGTCCGTCGCATCTCAACTTCAATGTGATACTCCTTGTGGTCAGTAATCTGCAGAGAGCAAGGACAAGGGGCCAAAACATGCCTTCTTTCCCCTTCCCTGCAGCTCTTGGTAATGGGGTCATTTATGTGCCACACAATGGCAATGGATCAACCCAGAATGGATGGTGGGCTTCTTTCTCCTGTTCTATCTGATGAACCTGCCTCCTTTTGTCTTCTGAGGAGAATTAACCAGAAATCACCAGAAACCAGATCTTTCTCCACGGGCAAAGCCACCTGTTGGATAACATGAGTGACAACTGTTTTGGGCAGGGGTTGGTAAAGGTCAGATAGTAAATATTTTAGGGTTTGTGGGCCAGTTTCTGTCCCAACTAGTGTACTGCACTGGTATGCCGCTGAACATCTCCACACCAGCCAGGACAGGCAATCATACTATAACTCTGCTGTTGTAGCGTGAAAGCAGCTTGAGACAGTATACACAAATGTGCGTGGCAGGGTTCCAATGACACTATTTATAAAAGTAGGCAGCAGGCAGATTTGGCCCCTGGGCCTTAATTTGTTGACCCTTGGTCTTGGGTATCATTTAAGTGTCCTCATCCATTCTAGTGAATTTCTTTCTCTTAAAATGCCCACTTCAACCTAAGTGAGGTTGAACGTCCCTTGAGTGGAATGCCCCCCAGTGTCCGCCACCCTGTTGGGAGCAGTGTGGTCGGGTTATACATACCTGCTGCTTGATGTTGAGGATTCGGATGACCCGGAAGTTGTACAAGTCCTTATTCTCTTGGTTGAACTTGCTGATCATGAACTGTATTGTGTCCTCCACGTAGGGTTCTCTTATGGACACTTCTTCGACTTTCAAGAAGGTTTTTTTTCTTCCTTGGTTGGTGAGGGCCACCAGGGCCACCAGGGTGGCAAGCAGGAGCCGCAGGGCCTGCCAGGCTCTTGCCATGGCCTCTTCGCCCTCCCAGGGGCTGGTTCTCCTTGTGCGGTGCACCCGCAGCTCTCCCTGCTTCCCTCCCCCTCTTTATCTGCCACTGCCCACCTGGGAAGAGAGCAGGGGACTGGCTGATGATTGGCAAGTACAAGTCCGTGTCTTATGTGCACGCATGCACACACACACTCAGACACTCACTCACACATGCCTTTCTTCTCTTTGGGGGGTGGCTACATTCACAACACACTCCCTCCTGCTACCCCAGCATCGTCTTGGTGTCTCTGTTCACTGAGCTCACCTCAGCTGGGCCGTGGGAGTTCTGGAGGGACAGGAAGCAAGAGAGACGAGGGGGACGTCTTGATCTCAGGGAACTGGCGCATGAACCAGTGACCTTGGCTGCTGCCCGGCTGTGGCAGGGGAGGGAGAAGACCTACAAGCAGGGGCTGTTTGCAGAGGAAGCCCTCTCTCCCCTTACCTTGCTCCTGAAGACAATTTAGCTAAGAGCCTCCCCTAAATTTAGGACAAAGTAGCAGGGGGACCAGGTGAAAGGTATAAGAGATTCTTATTGCTGACTCCAATGACATTTGAGTGTGCAAAATTCTGAGTGAACTCAACTTGATTCATAGATGTTCTGGAGGAAGAAGAGGCAGAGAAGAAGCTGAGGTGGAGGCCACGGATCTGTGCTGTGAGACACAAAGCTTTCAGGCTGAAAACTCTTGCCTTATAGGGATAAGGCTTCACAGGACCCCCATACTTGGCTCCAGGTGAAGATGGAAGCATCATGGTGGGATTGGGATGAGCAGAGAGCTCTGCCTGGCACACTCAGAGCTTGGCTCTTGATTCAGTTTGTCATTGTTATAGTCTTTATATGTAGGCTTTTATGGTGCTGTTTGTGAAAATGCAATATAGAGGTGCATGTGGCGATGGTTTCCTGTGATATGGGAACACAAAGGAGGATTTAGGTGAGCATAGGTAAGAGGTGCGGGGAAGGGCCAGGAGGCTATTCCAAGTGTCATGGTTAGCCAGGTTTTACCACATGCCTTCTTGGGGCCAGCCAGAGGGCTGACATCAGGGAAACAAGGTGCTCTCTCCTAATATCCCCACAGCCCTCCCTCACAGACCCCACCCAACAATCATAGAACACCAAAACGTATAACCACACACAGACACACCACAACCACATGCATACCCACTCATGCAGACACCCACCTACACACACCCACTGAAACACACACACACACACATACACGCACACCTTCCCACATACAGACAAGCCCCCAACACATACCCACACTCACATAAACATGCAGACACCCACCTACACACACACACTGAAACACACACACATACACGCACACCTTCCCACATACAGACAAGCCCCCAACACATACCCACACTCACATAAACATGCAGACACACACCTACACACACACACTCACACACTGAAACACATGGACACACACACACACATAGAGACACACAGCTCTCCCGCCCATGCCTTCACAGGGGAAAGTCTCTTTGTACTCTTTCTAAACAACTAAGAGTAGAGTTTTACCAAAAGATCTTCCTCAGGCTGCCCGTTCAGCTGCTGCATTAGAAGTCCTCTCCTTTGGGCTAAGGGCAAGGCAGTCTGATGCTTGTGCCCTCAAATCCACACTCCCCTTTGAATTAGTCTCAGGAGAGAACCTTCTGCCTTTCTTCCCAGCCAAGAACACTCTACGAAGCAGGGGTGATGTTCAGGGAAGTGAGGCAGCCCCAGTGTGAGCTGCATCCACTTCATCGTCACTCTTGAAGCCCAGTAGAGCAGAAGGAGGGTCTGGGCATCGTTGTGGCAAGTGACGTTGCCAAAGGGCTCTGTCCAGGCTGCCTGTCTGTGATTCAAGGGCTCCCTCCATCTGTCTGGGAGCAAAATGGCAAAGTGGAAGAAGTAGGAGGTTGGGAGCCAGTTGGGCCTGGTGTGAGTGAACGTGGGCAACGGGGCATCTCGGCCACGTGCCTGAAAAGTGGAATGTCAATGCTCTCCTTGTTGGGTTGCTCTGACAATTAAGCAAGAACCAGCGGTGGAGGCTGCTCATTCTCTTCTCCTCAGTAGTAGAACCCATTTTTTATTTGCGCTTGTGGCTACCGCAATAAAGACTGTGTTCCCCATCCTTGCTTGCAGCTGGGTGTGACTACAAGGCCAAGATATAAATGGGATTGTTGATTAAGACTTATAGGAAATCTCTCAATAAAGAGCTGATTCAACGAGAGGAGTCACTTTTGCTCTATCTGCAGTTGGGAATGAGGACACGATGGCTGGAGCTCCAGTTGCCATTTTGGAACATGAGGTAGCCTGGAGGACGGAAGCCAGCTCTGAGGATAGGAGAGCAGAAAAATAGAAGAAGCCTGACACTTTGTGCTCTCATCATTTCTCAGAGTCACAATGCCAGCCCTATATTGCCATCCCAACTTCTGTATAGGAGAAAAGGAACTCTTCTGTGTTTAAGTCGCTGTATTTTTTTTATTGTGGTAAAATATGTATAAAAAAATATGCTGTTTTAATCATTTTTAAGTGTACAATTCAGTGACAGTAATTATATTCAAAATGTTTTGCAACATCACCACTATCTATTTCCAAAAGCTTTTCATCACCCCAAATAGAAACTCAGTACCCCTTAAGCAATAATCCCCCATTCCCTCCTCTCTCCAGAGTCTGGTAACCACTAATCTACATTTGTTTCTATGCATTTGTCTATTCTAGATATTTCAGATGAGCGGGATCATACAATACTTGTCCTTTGGGTCTGGCTTATTTCATTTAGCATAACGTTTTCAAGGTTCATCCATATTGTAGCATGTATCAGGGCTTCATTTCTCTTTATGACTGAATAATATTTCATTGTATGTATATATCTCCTTTTGTTTATCCATTCATCTGTTGATGGACACTTAGGTTGCTTCCACCCTTTGGCTACTACGAATAATGCTGTGATGAACATTAGTGTGCAAGTTACTTGTTTGAGTCTCTGCTTTCAATTCGTTTGGGTAGACACCTGGGAGTGGAATTGTTAGGTCATACTGGAAACCCTGGTGGTGTAGTGGTTAAGAGCTATGGCTGCTAACCAAAACGTCGGCAGTTTGAACCCACCAGGTGCTCCTTGGAAACTCTATGGGGCAGTTGTACTTTGTCCTATAGTGTCGCTATGAGTTGGAATCGACTTGATGGCAATGGGTTTTTGTTTTTTTTTTAATGGTAATTCTATGTTTAGCTTTTCTTAAAAAACTGTACTTTAGATAAAGGTTTACAAAACAACTAGCTTCTCGTTAAACAATTAGTACACATATTGTTTTATGACATTGGTTAACAACCCCATGACATGTCAATACTCTACCTTCTGGACCTTGGGTTCCCTGTTACCAGCTTTCCAGTCCCCTCTTGCCTTCTAGTCCTTGCCCCTGGGCTGGTGTGCCCCTTTAGCCTCGTTTTGTTTCATGGCCTGTCTAATCTTTGGATAAGGGTAAACCTCAGGAGTGACTTCATTACTGAGCTAAAAGGGTGTCCGGAGACCATACTCTCAGGTTTCTCCAGTCTCTGTCAGGCCAGTAAGTCTGGTCTTTTTTTGTGAGTTAGAATTTTGTTCTACATTTTTCTCCAGCATTTTCTGGACCCTCTATTGTGATCCCTGTCAGAGCAGTTGGTGGTGGTGGTCGGGCATCATCTAGTTGTACTGGACTCAGTCTGGTGGAGGCCATGGTAGCTGTGGTCTATTAGTCCTTTCGACTAATCTTTCCCTTGTGTCTTTGGTTTTCTTCATTCTCCCTTGCTCCCGAAGGGGTGAGCCAGTGGAGTATCTTAGATGGCTGCTCACAGGCTTTTAAGACCCCAGATGCTACTCTCCACAGTAGAATGAAGAACATTTTCTTTATAAACTATGTTATGCCAATTGAGCTAGATGTTCCCCAAGACCATGGTCCCCACAGCCCTCAGCCCAGTAATTCGGTCCCTCAGGGAGTTTGGATGTATCTGTGGAGCTTCCATGACCATGCCTTGTACAAGTTGTGCTGTCTATGTTTAGCTTTCTGAGGAATCATCAAACTTTTCCACAGTGGCTGTAGCATTTTACAACCCTACCAGTAATGCACAAGGGTTTCAATTTCTCCAAATCCTTGCCAATGCTTGTTTTCCATTTTTCTGGTAACAGTCATCCTAGTGGGTGTGAAGTATATTTCATTGTGGTTTTGATTTGCACATTTCTAATGACTAATGAAGTTAAATATATTTTCATGTGCTTACTAGCAATTTATGTATCTTCTTTAGAGAAGTGTCTATTCTAGTCCTTTGTCCATTTTTAAAAATTGTGTTATTTGTCTTTTTTTGGTTGTTGTTGTTAAGTTACAGGAGCTCTTTATATATTCTGGAAATTAAACCCTTATCAGATACATGATTTCCAAATATTTTCTCACATTCTATAGGTTGTCTTTTCACTTTCTTGATAATGGCTTTTGATGCACAGAAGTTTTTAATTTTGATGAAATCAAAATTTATCTATTTCTTCTTTTGTTGCTCATGTTTTTCGTGTTATATCTAAGAATCCACTGTCAAATACAAGGTCCTAAAACTATACCCTAATGCTTTTTTCTAAAATTTTCAAGGCTTTAGCTCTTATATTTAGGTTGTTGATCCATTTTGAGTTAATTTTTGTATATGATATGAGTTAGGGGTCCAACTTCATTCTTCTGCATGTTGTCCCAGTGACATTTGTTGAAGATGCTGTTCTTTCCCCGTTGAATGAACTTGGAATCCTTGTTGAAGATCAATTGGCCATAGACGTATGGATTTATTTCTGGACTGTCAATTCCACTTGTCTAAATGTCTATCCTTACACCAGCCCATATTATTTTGATTACTGTAGCTTTGTAGTATGTTTTGAAACTGGGAAATGTGAGTCCTAAGCCACTGTATTTTTGGTCTCTGATTTTCATGACCACTCTGTTAATTGAGACAGTATCTGATATATAGTAAGTGCTCAGTACAT